TTACCTGTTTACGGCGGGAATGTTGGTTAAGGAATGTGCCCAGGATGCTTCAGGCCTTGGGGGGCGGGGGTGGGGCGGTGTGTGTGTGGTGTGTGTGGTGTGTGTGTGTGTGTGTGCGTGTGTGCACGTGTGCGTGTGTGCGTGTGTGCGTGTGTGCGTGTGTGCGTGTGTGCGTGTGTGCGTGTGTGCGTGTGTGTGTGTGTGTGTGTGTGTGTGTGTGTGCGTGCGCGTGTGTGTGTGTATGTGTGTGCGTGTGTGGGGGGGTGCTCATCTCGCGGGGGCGGCGGTGATATTCTTGGCCAGTCCACGATTGGAGCCCCACTGGCTTCCAGACTCTGGATTCCTGATTTAATTGTTCCTTATCCAATGCCCTCACCGCGCCCTCTTCGAGCGCCTCACTTAAGAACAATATAGTTCCAGTTCCACCGCGTCACGGCCCCACCCAACTGAGGGGCAATGCGCCTTCTTCGAAGCGTGTCGGGGCCGCCCCCGGCCTATCCCCCCTTCCCCACTTCTCCCCCCGAGGCCCCTTTCCCCCATCCGTCTTCTCTTTTAGGGGGCGGGGTCCCGCTCTTGATTCACATTATTGTGACCAGGTGTCATGTATGTTCTTCGCATGACATTTTGGCTCGCCAGATTTTGACGCAAGCTGCGCAAGACATCGCGGCCGCCAGCGCCACCAGCATGTTTTTTTTTTTTTTTTTGCACATTTCCAGAGGTGTACCAAGCTCAGGGCGGCAGCTGGCGCGATGTTCCATGGATGAAGCGACTTCCCGACCGGGAAGGGCGGCCGCAGGGGCGCCAGTGCATGTTTTGCAGCAAGCCCGCTACGTGGGGTCATTGCGATTCCGACAAACACAAGTCTTGGCTCGCAGACGCCCTCATCAAAGCCGAGCTCCCCAAGAACGCGCAAGTTCGCATGAACAAGCATTACATTTGGACTGGTAAGAGTGAGCAGTGGTGGGTCAACGGGGCAGCTGCAGCAACCCAGCAGTCGCCCGCGAAGGCGAAGGCGAAGCCCCCAGAGTTGCCACCTCACAAACGGGGCAACCACGCAGCAGAAGCAGCAGCAGCACCTCCGCCACCTCCGTCACCTCAGCAGCCCAGCAAGGAGTTCATCGACATCGAGCAGATGCTCAAGGAGATGGGAAAGCAGGTGGAACTGCTTTCAGTGAGTAGCCGAAGCGTCGTCACCCGATTCGAATCGATGCAGCGCGACGGCAGCGCGTTCCAGCTCGAGAGCAACGCGTTCCAGCGCACCGTCACCGGGAAGCTGGATACCATCTCCGCGAACATAGACAATCTTTGGACAGACATTCAAGAGGTCGAGGCGGAAGTGACCGCTACACCCAGCATGTCGAGTTCATCTGTGGGTTGTTGCGGCGGCAAGTCATCAGCGAGCGAGCCCAGCAGCAAGGAGAAGCAGGAACAGGCAGTGAAGCCAGAGCAGCAGAACATGCAGTGATATTTTCGTGTGCAGTGATATTTTCGTGTGCAGTGCTATTTACGTGAGTGAGTTCAGCAGGCGAGTGCAGGAGCCTGAACAGCAGCGGCGGATCATCAGCAATTGATCCAGCCAGCTGCCAGTCCTGCCAGCCAGGCCGCCGGGGGGAGAGGAGGAGAGGAAGGAGAGGTGAGGAGGGAGAGTAGTAGTAGTGGCATCAGTCGTAGTAGTAGTAGTAGTAGTAGTAGTAGTAGTAGTAGTAGCAGTAGCAGTAGCAGTAGTAGTAATATTAGTAGTAGTAGTAGTAGTAGTAGTAGTAGTAGTAGGATGAGGATTCGGAGGAGGAGGGGGAGTCGAAGTAGTAGTACTACTACCACATAGTCGCAGTAGGAATAGTAGTAGTACTAGTCGTATCCGTAGTCGTAGTATTATTGGTAGTAGTCGTAGCAGTAGTAGTAGTAGTAGTAGTAGTAGTAGTAGTAGTAGTAGTAGTATCAGCAGTCTTAGTATTAATAGTAGAAGTAGCCGTAGTAGTAGTAGTAGTAGTAGTCGTAGTAGTAGTAGTAGTCGTAGTAGTAGTAGTAGTAGTAGTAGTAGTAGTAGTCGTAGTATTACTAGTCGTAGTAGCAGTAGCAGTCGCAGTAGCAGTAGTAGTAGTAGTATAGTAGTAGAGTAGTGTAGTAAGTGTAGTTAGTAGTTCGTAGTATAGTGTAGTAGTAGTAGTAAACGCGTAGTAGTAGTAGTAGTAGTAGTAGTAGTAGTAGTAGTTAGTTAGTAGTAGTGTAGTAGTAGTGGGTAAGTGTAGTAGTAGTAGTCGTAGTCGTAGTCGTAGTAGTAGTAGTAGTAGTAGTAGTAGTAGCAGTAGTAGTAGTAGTAGTAGTAGTAGTAGTAGTCTAGAGGAGGGGGGGGGGGGGTGATCCGAAGCATGCCCATCGCGTGCTTCTTTGCGAGCCTGCAGCGCATGAGAGCACATTGCA